ATTTCACTGCACGATTTTGGCAGAGTCTTCAGACAGCCTTGGGGACTCAGCTACTGTTTAGTACTGTTTTCCACCCTCAGACTGACGGCCAGTCAGAGCGTACTATTCAGATACTTGAGGACATGCCTAGAGCATGTGTTATGGACTTCAAGGGTAGCTAGAAAGATCACCTTTCTTTTGCAAAGTTTGCCTACAATAACAACTATCAGTCTAGTATTGAGATGACACCTTTTGAGGCGTTGTATGGTAAGTCGTGTCGTTCACCGGCATGTTGGATTGAGGTAAGGGAGACAGCTGTCTTAGGGCCTGACATAGTCTGTGAGACCATGGACAAGATACAGGTGATTAGACAGCATTTGTTGACAACACAGAGCCACCAGGAGAGTTATGCAGACAGGAGGTGGCGACCTCTATCATTTGATGTTAGGGGACATGTGTTTCTCAAGATAGCCCCACAATGCGGATTGAGGAGATTCGGGCGTAGCGAAAAACTGTCACCGCGGTTTATAGGACCATTTGAGATCCTTGGGAAGGTTGGTGAGGTGGCCTATAAGCTAGCATTACCGCCACAGCTATCTGGGGTTCATGATGTCTTCTATGTGTCGATGTTGAGGAAGTACGAGCCTGACTCTTCACATGAGCTAGATTGGATAGATCTTCAAGTGGAGGGTGATGTTTCTTATGATGAGAGGCCTGTGGAGATATTGGACTCGAGGGACCAGGTTTTGTGGGGCAAGACTATCCCTTTGTTCAAGGTTCTTTGGAACTATCATGGGGTTGAGGAGGCTACTTAGGAACGTAAGGTTGAAGTCCGCACTAGGTATCCAGAGTTGTTTATTCATAGAGGTACATTTCAAAATTTTGGGACGAAATTTCTTCAAGGGGAGAAGGAAGTAGAGATTTGAAAAGTGAGAATAAATTTTTCAATTTTGGCGGTAGAACACTATTCATGTACCATTTGCCGGTAAGGCACTATTTATGTACTATTTGCTGGTAGGATACTACATATGCATCATTTAGGCATAAATCATGTTTAAGAGCATAATTTGAGTATATCATAGAAGTTAAACATGCTTAGAATGTTAAAATATACTGTGCAAATTTGAGCTTAAACAAAAATAGTTTCAAAAATTGGACAAAAAAAAGTATCCTAGTTGGCCTAGGTGGGACCGGCCAAACTCGGCCACTAGCAAAAATCTATTTTTCTAAAAATTTTCAGTTAAAATAATTTTAAAAACTTTGGTTAAAATAAAATGTTAAATTGAGACGTTTTGAGATGACTTGTAGTGTAACGGGGTTCCAGATTCTTCAAGGGCAAAAGGGTTATTTTGTACCTTTGCCCTCCATTATAAATACAGCTCCTTAATGTAAAAAAATATCAGTATTTGGCTTGGAGATAGAGTAGTACACGTTCAACAGAAAAGTGAAAAAAAAATCTTAGGTTCTTCAACCTTCAAGCCCCCAAAACTCATTTCTAGACCAAGATTCTTACAAGACTTCCTTCTAAGAAGTTGTTCCTCTCAACAAGGGCTATATTCTCACCAATCGATTTGGCTATAAAGCGAACACAACTCTCTTGGTTTGAGAAAAATTATTTTAGGTATGATATTTTGCTAAGTTGGGAATAGATTTAAGTTTTTTTTGTCTTCCTATGTGTTGATTGGATGATTTAGGTGTTTACTTGATGTTAGAAAATTATTTAGTTGGTAGTTGCTTTACAAACTTAGAATTAGTGGCTTAAGTACTATTGTATTTTTTGAGTTTCTTGACAATTTGTTGTTATTGTAAAGGTGTATATTACTTATGTGTTTGATTATTATATTCTAGCTTATGTTTATGTAGAGACACTCTTGTGGTTTGAGAGTTATGATTTATTACATGAATTGGTAGTTTATGTATTTGTAGTTTCCTTAAGAAATTTTGAAAGTAATAAATATGAAGCTTCATCATATGTTCAATCCATTGAATGGTGCTTCACATTCATGTAGATAAGGTGTTTGATGAAATGTTTCATAGAATTCACATTGAAAATAATCAAGGCATCTTGGCATACATGAATCCTTGGAACATAATGTGAGTTGAGCACTTGATGCTATGTATTATGAGGGTGTAGATCCTGTGGTGAAAAATCCAAAATTTGGCCAATGACAGTACTCGCAGGCTGACGGAGGTGGACCGTGAAGTGGGACATGGATGACATAGAGTTGCATGGGTGTATCATGCATATTGACATTGCATAGCATTGAGGGATCACGGGATTATAACTTTTAAAAATGTACACTTGCACATGCCACACCTTAAATTTGTTCCTAGCATTAGCATTTTGTCATACCAGCAGTTGAGCTGACCCATTTGTGGGATATCATATTACGGATGAGGCTCCCGATACTTGAGACTTGAGGAAGTCTTAAAGGAAGGAGGGGAAAGGGACTTGAATGGATATTTAGCCTTTGAGCATATTTTGTGTGTATGGGCATAAGCCCAAATGACTTGTATTTCAATTTAGAAAAATAATAAATTTAGACTTTGGGTCATTTTAACGTATAAGGGTGTAAACCCAATTGATATGTATGATATCTCTTATGTAATAAGTATTATATGTGTATGTTGAAAACAAAGGATGTATGTTTAATTTACATGGATTGTGGCCACCAACTGAGGGTGGGTTGTGATATAATAATGCATATGAAATATTGTGAATATTAGGTGAAAAAAAGGCTTGGAAACAAAAGAGGTTATGTCGAAATTTTATGGAAAATTAAAAAACTTTTTAAGTATGTAAAACACCTTTTAAATAGGTGGGAATGATGTCAAAAGGGGAGGAGATTTAGAAAACTTGGTGGGGTTAATTTTTTTTGGAATGGAAGGAGAATGTTCAAGTAGTTTGCAAATGATTTATAAAAATGTTGAGACTAAAATACAGAATGTGGTCAACGTAGATCAGCCTAAGGTTGGGATAATGTTTGAAAGTGAAAAAAAGTTGTTTGACTACTACACAGATTATGGCAAGCGATTGAGGTTCCTAGTTAAGATAAGATCATCAGCAAAAGAAGATGATGGTGAGTTGATATATTTGACAATTTGTTGTTCTCAATCAGGAAAATCAGAGTGTAATTCTGAAAATCCTTTCAAACCAAGTCCAAGCATCAGAACAGGTTGTAAAAGCTAAGGTCCTAACAATTTTATGTGCTGATAGAAAGTGGCGACTAAACACTGTTATTCTTGATCATAACCATGAGGTGAGTCTAAGCAAAGCTCAATTCTTTCGTTGCAATCGAATGATGGGACCAAATGTAAAAAGGAAGCTTGAATTGAACGATAGGGCAGGGATTAGAATAAACAAAAAATTTTAATTCATTTGTGGTTGAAGTAGGGGGGCATGAGAATATCTCTTTTTTAGAGAAGGATTGTAGAAACTACATTGACAAAATAAGGCGTTTACGACTTGAGGAAGGAGACGTTTCTGCGATATAGAATTACTTCTTAAAGATGCAAGGTGAAAATGCAAACTTCTTTTATACAACGGATTTGGATGATGAGGGTCGGTTAAGGAATGTGTTTTGGGTAGATGCAAAGAGTAGGGCTGCATATGAGAAATTTGGTGATGTTATTACGTTTGATACAACATATTTGACAAATAAGTATGACATGCCCTTTGCTCCATTCATAGGTATTAATCATCATGGACAATCAACTTTGTTTTGATGTGGTATGATCTCTAGTGAAGATACGAAAAATTTTAATTGGTTATTTCAATCATGGCTTGCATGTATGTCTGAGAAAACTCCACGTTTAATAATAACTGACTAGGACAAGGCCATGAAGAAAGCAGTTGAGATGTTTTTCCTAATGCTAGGCATCAATGGTGCCTATGGCACATCATGAAGAAATTACCTTAAAAGTTGAGAGGTTATAAGCAGTATGAATCCATCAAATTTTTCTTGCAAAGAGCCGTTTATGATTCATTAAGTTGTACTGAATTTGAGGAAAGTTGGAATGGAATGATTGAGAAGTACATGCTACACAACAATGATTGGTTGAGTGAATTGTACAATGAGAGGTGTCGTTGGGTGCCAATCTCTGTGAAAGATACTTTTTGGGTGGGAATGTCTACCACACAACAAAGTGAGAGTATGAATTCATTCTTTGATGGGTATGTCAACTCTAAGACTATATTAAAGCAATTTGTCGAACAATATGAAAATGTTTTGAAAAGTAAGGTGGAGAAGGAGAACGAGGAAGAATCTAAGTCTTTCTCTTCGCAAGTCCCTTGTGTAACCCATAATGACATGGAGAAACAAGTTCAAAAGGATTACACCATCTCAAAATTTATGGGGTTCCAAAGCGAATTGACAGGGGAAGATGTACTGTGATTTGACTTCGGTCAAAATGGATGTCTTGATTTCTGAATATGACGTATGTGAGGATATCATGACCGAAGAGAAAAGAAAGAGTGCAAATTTCAAGGTTTTGTTTAATGAAAAGGATTGTGAAGTGAAGTGTAATTGTCGGTTGTTTGAGTTTAAAGGAATATTGTGCAGGCATGTCGTGGCAGTGTTAATCCATAGAAAGATTTATTTAATTCCTGATAAATACATCGTACAGAGATGGAGGAAGGACGTGGAAAGATGTCACACAAAGATAAAAATTAGTTATGACTGTTGGAGTGCCACACTTGAAGCACAACGATTAGATAAATTGTACAATGCTTTTTAATGAGGTTGTAGACTTGGCAGTAGATTCTGAAGATAAGTGCACATTTGTGATGGATTGTATACATGATCTAAAGGTGAAATTATAGAAATACAAAGGTGGTTCTACAAGATATGAACCAAGTCCCAACTCAACTGTCAATAGAAGTTCTGGTAGTGATGTAAATGATATATCAAAGGAGAGGAATATACTTACTCCATTGGCAGTTCGAAGCAAAGATCGTCACCATTCATTTATATCAAAAGTGGAGCAAATTTCTAGTAAAAAGAAGGAAACGAAAAAAAAAGATGGTATCTCATAGAAATTATACCACTAAATTAAAATTATTCACATTCTTTGTAACATTTATTATTTATTATTTAATTTATATTTTGTAGGATTCCCTCCCAACTAAAAGTGATGTCATTGGTCATATTGGTGGTCAACCCACTAGTAAAGTGGTTGACGTACTTGGAACACAAGAAAAAATTGTTGTGATGGTATGACATAACCATCATTTTTGGAATTGTAATTTATATTTTTTAATGCATTGGTTAACTTCATACTTGGAATGACCTGTAATGTAGGATTCAAAAATTATCCAAAGTGGTAATGTTGCCGAAAGTGATGGTCAATACTCCAATTTGCCTCTTTATAATGTAAGTTGTAAAAGTTTATTTGTAATTAATCTGTTGTAATTTTGTAGTAATTTGTTGTAATTTTGTTATGATAGAACAATTTGGCTTTATTATGGGGAGTAACTCAAAGAGGTCAGGAAAACCAATCATATAGGATGAAAAACTATTTCATGGTTAGCAATCTAACATTAGTTTTAGAAATTCTATATCTTTTTTGTTGTTTATACTATAATGTCAATTTATGAAATTTCTTGTTTTTTTGGTTTAGAATAACCAATATCATCCTTGGAATGGTGAATATGACATGCAACATATGCCTTTGTTTAGCTCAAAAGAAGTAGCAGACAATCCAGAATTGACAGTTCCGTCTTCGACATCACCGTCAAATGGCAATTAGATTTGGTAAGTTGAAAAGAATTCTATAAAAAGTCTTTGTCATTTATTTTAGAGTTGAGTTTTTATTTTTTTTCCTATGATAGGTATGTAAAGGAGGAACCCTTTGTCAAGATGTACAAGACAAAGAGTGTAGTATTTTGTGTCCTTATGTTACCCAAAATTGAGTTGTTCTATTATTTTTGGATACTCATGATTTTATAATAGGATTTAAGGGTTCGATTTTGCAGCAACAATTTTATTTTAAACAATTGTTCAATGAATTATTTGTTGGAATTTTTTTTTGTTTCAAACATGTGATCTTTGGGAATGGTTTTTTTATAATTGAAGGACAACAAAGCAATTTTGCTATAATTTATGGGGACATGTGAATAGAGCAGTCTGGTTTGCTTGACTTCTCTCCTTCGTTGAGCATTCATGTTCAGGCGAGATTGTTTTTGTTACAGGATCTACAGGGGCGCAAAGTGTTAAGAAGGAAGTTCTATTTTTTTTTTTTTTTGATAATTTTGAGTGATTGATGTAAAGGCAGGCATGTCTGCTTTCAAATTGATTGTAAAATTTTTTTGATCATGAAATACAGTGTTGATTTGTTTGAAAAAAAAATAGGGACATGTGATTTGTTTCCTAGTCGATTCAACGATGAAGTGATTAAACAGTGTCGGTTATTGAGTGAACATGGGTCTTGGTCCTGATCTTGGGAACCCTCAGAGGACTTTCCTGAACACTGGCTGATTCACCACACAACAATTCTCTTTAGATATCATATTCCACAACAGAATGAAACAGTATAAGTGCTTAACCAATGTTTCGTCAGAAGCATTAGCTATCTTTGTGCCATATTATGCAGGGCTTGATGTTGCAAGGTATCTATGGGGTTCCAGCATATCTATGAGAGACTCTGCTTCTTCTGATTTGGCCAAATGGCTTAGAGAAAAAACCGAGTGGAAAGTCATGTGGTGAAGAGACCATTTTCTAGTCGCATGTCGAATTACTTGGGATTTCAGAAGAGGAATTAATGAGGACTCTGGTTGGGGTAACAAGCTAATGTTGTTTCCTGAGGATAAGAACATGACTATTCTAACAATTGAATCAAGCCCTTGGAACAGCAACGATTTCGCAATACCATATCCAACTTATTTTCATCCTTCAAGTGACAATGAGGTATTTGGTCACGAAATAAAATTTTAGAGCATAGAGTATAATATGATGCCAAAACAGAGCTGCATAGTATCCTAATTTTATACTTCAATACCCAAATACATGATTCAATAATTTCAGATGTCACCATCGTCACTTCATCATTATTCATGTCATAGTTGGTAGGGCTGCTGCTTTTTTTTAGAATGGATCAATACATAAACAAACATGAAGTGATTTGCAGTATTCACAGAAACATGGCTTGACTTGCCCCTTTTTTACCCAGATCATATGTAGTGTGAAATTCTGGGATATACAGAGTATAATAATTTTGGTTTGCACATATACAGGCTCAATTCAAGTCTGTATCTATAGTGATTATGGCACCATTTTTCTCCCTCACCACCCCAATGGAAATTGTGATCGGTATTGGAATATCAAGTGTTTACACTGAAAATAGTTCAACCACTCTAATTGTTGAAGGTTTATTCAATTCTGTTTCGGCTGGGATCTTGATTTACATGGCACTTGTTGACCTACTAGCAGTAGATTTTATGAACCCAAGAATGCAAAGCAATGGAAAGCTTCTACTAGGGGCAAATATTTCACTTCTTTTAGGAATAGGTTGTGTGTCTGTTTTGGCCAAATGGGCTTGAATCACGTACAACATAGCAATCTTTTTCAACAGTTTTCTGTCTCTTGAACAAATAAAATTCATTAATGCATGATGCCATTGTCTCCTACAGCCATAACTGCCTATTGGGTGTCACTGTTACGCCATGTCAAACACGATGTATATGTGAAAATCAAAATATTTCACAGTAGTATTCTTGTGTAACAGTCACATTTTAGTTTTGAGTTTAAAACTCCAGCAAAAGCAAGTTGTACAATGGGAAGAGAGAAGAGGAGAAAAAAAGGAGGAAGCAGAGGCCAGCAAAAATCTTATGTTCAGTACTATCTAAAAGTAGCATTAAACAACTTCTATTAAATCATTGAAAGGGTTGAAAGGTTCTTCGAGTTGTTAACCGCCAAATATAATACGCAACCATGTAGCAGAATCTAGCATTTTTTAAGTTTGTTGGAATCCAACACAAGTTTCCACAAATGTCAAACCATCCAACTGAGAAATTATTCCTTTGTTTTGTTTGCAAAAAAAATGGGACCACATAGTGTACAATTTATTTCTGGAACATGGTCATGACCCTTAAGGATGGCAGCACTCTGAACCAAAATTTAAAGTTCCATAATCATGGCCAATTTAGCATCAAAAAGGCAAAAGTAGTATACTTTTTTTCATTACTCTTCCACTACCAAATTGAATAATTTCACAAAAAAAATACAATTATAAACTTATACTTAAGCAACAATACTATTGCCTCCCAAGTTGAATGAGTACACAAACAAAGTGTACAATTTTCACAAATCACTTCTTCTAAGGCAGCAACTTAATTCTGCATAACAAATTGACTTCAGCGTGGTGTCTCATTAACGAAGCATAAATGTCCCAAACAAAGTGACTTCTACTAGACAATTCAACGAACAGTTTGTGAACACAATCAATTCTAGCTTTCCTTTCCTTACTCGAGTGGAATGTGATGGGACTTTTCTGAAATACTTCATGATGAAGACACGTATCCTCGGTATTTACCAAAACACTGTTGCTAAGATCAAGCACCATCGGCGCATAAAGGTCCTCGCCCCCGAGGTACGCGTCATATAGGATCATGGCATTCAGTACGAGTTACAACCAACACGTAGCCTTGGTCTGATATGGTACCTCGGTCGGTATACCTCCCTCGGTTCCGAGATGGCCTTTCCTCGGTGCCGAGAGGTACCCCGTCCTGGACTCTTCCTCTACTCTAGGATAAGCTATTGACGTACAGGTCATTAGCCTAGGTTAGTCTAGGCTATTCATCATGACCTCGTCTTACACAATTAGTGTCAGAACGTACTGGAATGCAGGGGACACAGCCAATGGGGGATGGACGCGTGGCGTATGATATCACATCGAAGACAGAGAAACCGCATGTCGTTGCTGACACGCGACTTGGGAAAGCAAACGATTAATTACACCATTCCCTTGATGAGACTGCATTCAATGCGTTAAGGCTCGGAAATGAAAGGCAATAAATGCTCCTAATACAGAGCATTTATTGCATCCTCCCCGAGAGGAGTACATTGTACCGTCGGCATCCCGATGACCCAGCATTGATTGCTCGGGACCCCGAGCAGTTAAGAAGAGAAGACATTCCTCATCAGAATCAGTGCGCACACTGCCTGTACCTAATGATCACCTACTGACTACACTGACAGCAATCATGAGCTTTTGAGGTATAAATACTCCTTGCAAAAGGCAAGACGGGTATGCAAAAAAGAACTCTTTACTACAATACACACTCAGTGTTTTCTCCTTCCTCTCTCTCTCTCAAAGACTGACTAGATCGTCGGAGGGGATACGCCGGAAAACACTCCGGCGCCCTTCTAACTTGTTCTTCTTTGTTCCAGGAACCTCTTTCAGCCTTACTGGATCGTTCTTCCGCTCCCCCAGGGTCTCCCGTTGCCGTTCCAGGTTACCACCGGACCTCGCAGGCTGTTCCAAGCAGCGTGGTTGGTCACTCAACTGGCTCACTCGAGTTCACCAAGGGAGAGATCTGTTCTCGTTTTTTATATTGTGCAGGATCTTGCACGCACAATCTGGCGCCGTCTGTGGGAAACGACTAGTTTTCCTAGTTTTTTCTCTATAAAGAACAGTGACCATGGTGAACACTCGACAGAAAGGGAAAGGCCCCCACCAAAGGAGTCTCGAGTTACAAGCTCCCTGTCATCACGGAGGAAGGGATCACACCGATATGAATAAAAGTGCCTCTACTCGGTCAAGAGGGGTTACCCCTCAAACCAGTATGGGAATCAGGTCAGGGGGATCAGCCCCCTTGGCTCGTCAGCTGGCGGAGGTGATTGAAGAAAAGTTTGGCGATAGATTACGACAGCTGGAAAAGGACAATGTAAACGTCCTAAGCCGGCTCAACGAGTTTGCCGCCTCTGGCGAAGGATCGAGGGATTCATTCCTTTCTCGTGGGCTTCCCGCCCGGGAGGCGGAAACGAAGGATCTAAGAAACCACCTAAACAACAAAGCAGAAAGCTCTAGGGCCCCAAAGCGACCCAGAGCCAGCGAGCATCATCATGACGACCATTCAAGGAAGGCAAGGCCATTGGCCCTGGACGACCTCCGGCGAGGTTTGTCTAGACGGAGGAAGGGAGATGAATCCGAGGAGGACTCAACCCAATCCACACGACGCCCAGGAAATGAGGGGCTTACCGATGAACTCAAGGACTTCAGAAGGCATCCCGTCAGGGAAGAAATTGATCTCAGAGCCCGGTTAGACTCCAGGAGAAAGGGTAAGGCTGTCCAGGATGAGGCCGAGGACGAAGTCATACAAACACCCTTTACGAGGGAGATCGGTGAGATGGAGGTTTCAAGAAAGTTTGTCGTGCCGCGGTTCAAAACTTATGACGGGCGGTCCGATCCCGAAGCCCATGTCAGGCAATACAAGCAGATGATGTCCCTCTATCATTCGGACCAACGGTTTCTCTGCCGAGTGTTTCCTATGAGCTTGGGGGACTCTGCGATGAAGTGGTTCGAGGCGCTTCCCCCCAACAGTATTGGGTCCTGGAAGGAATTGACTAAGCAGTTCCTGGCTCGATTCATTACGGGGAGTAAGCGCCCCAAAGACATTGGATCATTGCTGACCCTCAGACGGAGGGAATCCGAGACTCTTCGCCAGTACGCCATCCGATACTGGGAAGAGGTTAATGAGGTAGAAGGCTGCTCGGAGGTCATGGCAGCAGCATCTTTCCGGCTCGGCTTGGCAAGGGACACGGACCTGTACCGATCCCTGACCAAGAAGACTCCCTCGGATATGGGGGAACTAATGGCCCGGATAAACAAATACTCGAGGGTTGAGGACGAGATGGGAAGCAGCAAAGGCCGAGCCCTCCAATCTAAGAGAAAAGAGAAGGAGCGGGAAGATATTCCTCGAAAGGGATTGCTACCCTCTCCAGGGGGTCCGTCCAAAGGAATTCACACTGTGTTCAAGGAACCCATCTTCAAGCTGCTCCATAAAATCAAGCACGAGCCGTTCTTCAAATGGCCGCCCAGGATGCAGAGCGACCCCTCCACCCGTGATCAAAAGGTTAGGTGTTCCTATCACCGGGATTTCGGGCATCGCACCGAAAGCTGCAGGGTGTTCAAATC